GTGGCTGAAGCTTGAAGCGGCTTGAGTTAAAACTAGCGAATTGGGATTGTACCCAGCACCTCCACCAGTTTGTCACGGTAAAAAAATCAGTGCAACTAACAGTGTAGGAATCAGCAAAACAGCTTCAATCGAGCAGCGCAAGTTTGTCGTCGTCTTTCCAAATCCTTCGACACGCACAAGTAATGATGACACTAACCACGCAAAAGCCAGAAACCCACTACACGCTCGTGTAAATAAATATATATACATATTATTTATTTATTTATTTATTTATTTATTTATTTATTTATTTATTTATATGGCCTTTATCAGGACTGAGGTTACATTTTGTTGGTGGTCAGCTTTATACAATTATAATAAGAGGTGGAGACAGAAAGCAGGAAGAAGGAAAAAAACAATAAGAAGATAAGGTGGACCCCCCGGGCGCCCCATTTCACTCTTCCTTCGCGTTCCCTCTCCCTCTTTCTCTCTTTTCCCCTTTTCACCTTTAATATCTGCGATCTGTGTATCCTTCCTTTCACTAACGTATTGTACACATTTCACTAGCTATATATATATATATATAGGTTGTATACGAGGCACTATTGGTCAGCTGCCCGCTCGTAATAAGTTCACGTGCTACGTGACGCAAGTGTGTTCCACACTCGCCGCTTAGCTACAGATGGCGCTGACTGACACTCCCACGTTTGAATTCACATATAAACCCAAAAAATGTGGATGGGGGAAGGCCGACGTGATAGCTCAGTGGTTAGAGCATCGAACGCGTCATTAGAAGGTCGTAGGCTTCATTCCTGCTCACGGCAGGTTATTTTTTCACCCACTTTTCTTTGTTCTTATTTACATTACATTGGTTTTAATAACTTCCCCTATACATTCCTTGGCATTATTGTCTGGTAAATCTCCTTAATATTGTGTCAAAAACGGAAAAACGAGCCCTTAGATATACACTTCTTCCCCCGCCCATATATATATATATATATATATATATATATATATATATATATATATATATATATATATATATATATATATATATATATATATATTTCTTTTAATATTTATTCAATTATTTTTTTATTTATTTACAGGATTTCTGCTGGCTTCAAAGTGAAGCCATAAGCAGGAGTGGGTAACATATAAATATAGCACGCTGAACATTTGCACAATATAATACGCACAGAGAATGTCGCGGACACACAGGTTTTAACGCGGTAAAAAGAAAAATATACAGTGCATGACAGGCGATTGCGCATAGCATAATACCTGTATAAGTGCGTACTAACATCACTTGTAAACTAACAACGCAACGTCAAAAAACAAAGATTACAAATATGGCAGGAAGACGTGCTAAGAATTTTTTAGCTCCGATAAGAATGACGCCACTGTCGCCGCCTCCACAACCTCACCAGGGAGGCGATTCCACTCGCGTACAGTTCGTGGGAAAAAAGAGCCCATGTACAAGTTCGTTCTGAAGAAAATTCCTGTAATTTTTTTAGTGATCCGCCCGCGTGGGTCGTCGCACAACTTTTTCTATATATGCACTTGAATCAATGCCAAGCTTATCGTGGTAGAGCAGATACATATATTTTAGTCTTTCGTGATATCGCCGCAAATGTAATGCTTCCAAGTTCGCTGTCTGAAGCAAAGCAGTGACTGACGTAAGGCGATTGTATGAGCGAAAGATAAATCGAGCAGATTTTCTTTGTAGGTTTTCTAGTTTATCAATATTTTTCTTTGTGTATGGGTCCCAGACCACGCAGGCATATTCCAAAAGGGGACGAATGTAGGTTTTATATGCTAATAGTTTTATTTCTTGCGTTGACTGTCGTAACGATCTTCTAAGATATCCAAGCTTTCTCATGGCTTTCTTTTCTAGAAAAGTGATATGTTCATTCCACCGGAGGTCTGAAGTGATTATTAAACCTAAGTATTTATAACAATTTACAGCACTAAGACAGCGACTATTTATTGAATACTGGAAAGTAAGTGGTGCCTTCTTTCTTGAAATTGTCATTGAGATGGTTTTTGTAGTATTGATGCACATCTGCCATTTTTCACACCAAATATGCTGTTTGTCCAGGGCACTACTTAATAATGCCTGGTCGGCAGGTGTGTTTACTTCCTGATAAAGGATGCAATCGTCCGCGAACAGTTTGATTTTGACAGGTATATTGTTTACGATATCATTTATATAAACTAAAAAGAATGGTGGCCCGAGAACCGACCCTTGGGGAATGCCTGATTGCACGGGCGCCGGGTGTGAACACGAACACGAACTGATACGCATTGACTCCTAGACGATAAGTATGACTCTATCCATGAGAGAAGCGAGTTATTTTGTAATATGAGTGTTAATTTTAACAAAAGCTTATGGTGCGAGACGCGATCAAATGCCTTCTGGAAGTCCAAAAAAATTATATCGATTTGACTCTGTTTATCTAAGGCTGAGGCAAACTCGTGTATTGTCTCAAGAAGTTGGGTACCGTCGACATTCCCTTACGGAAACCATGTTGGCGGCAATCAATCAATTTATTTTGTTGCAGAAAGTTTGACAAGTGCGTAAAAATAATATGTTCTAGCAATTTTGAGCAGGTACACAGTAAAGATATTGGTCTGTATGACGTAATTAGTGAAGGATCTTCCGCCTTAGGGATCGGAACAACCTTCGCGCGCTTCCAATCTCTCGGGAGTTCTGCAGTGGACAATGTTTTTTTTAATATAATAGATAAATACTTTGAACACCATTCTGCATACCTTACTAGAAATGCGTTCGGTATGCAATCAATTCCTGGTGATTTCTTTATATTGATTTTAAGCAGCAGTGATAAGACACCCTCTTCAGTTATCATTAAGTCAAAAATTTTGGGTACGTCCTGAGAAATTGCAAAATTTTGTTTTTTCATCGTCATTTGTGTAGACTGAACAGAAGAACTTGTTAAACTATGACGCAAGGAGTGATTCATCAGTTACTAATTCTCCATTAATGAGGATTTTATATGCCTGTTGCTTCCTAGGTGACAAGTGTCGCCAGAACTTCGCAGGAGCATTAAGCAAGAAGTTTTTCAAAGATATGTTGAAAAAGTAGTGTTTTGCCTTTTTTATGATTTCATTTAACTGCAAACGCATATTAGAAATATTTGATACATGAGAAGATGAAGGGTTCTGGCGCAGTCTTTTGCGCATCTTCTTTAGTTTGCGTCCCGCTCGCACTACTTCCCTCGTCGTCCAAGGGCGAGCAGATTGTGTTCTGATAATCTTTGAGGGGACATGACTTGAGACAAATTTCATAACAAGATTCTTGAAGAAACCCCACAAATCTTTGACAGAGCAACTACTTGATTCATACATATCACCGAAATCTGAAAACGATATATCTAACAGGTCAAGCACGGCGACGTCATCAGCACGAGTGAAATTTGGCACTACGCGCTTTTCCTTCACTTCTTTCCTTACGTGAAGTGGAATGCTCAAAGATAACAATCGATGATCGGATACACCGTCATAGACGCACAAAGCAGGATTTCGACGAAGGATTCTGTCACTCACAAGAAACAGATCCAAAATAGATTGTGCGTCACTTTGAGCATGGGTGGGTTGTTTTACTAACTGTGTTAAGTCATGAAAAAGAACAATGTCGACCAAGGGCTCAGCAGCACTAGAAAGCGGTTCCGGGAAGTCCGCGTCCCAATTAACTTGAGGAATATTAAAATCCCCAGCTAATAACATATTAGAAGTGCTTGTGTTGCAAGAACAAAGAAAATCATTAATACCATCAAAAAACGCCTTCTCGGCATACGGAGGGCGGTAAAATGCACCCACAACCAGGTTCATTTCCTCAAGGTGTATCTTAATAATGACACCTTCAATGCCGTCTCTATCGGAAAGCCTAGTCACATTGAGGTAGTTTTTAAACAGGATGGCTACACCACCACCACCACGAGATGGCCTGTCTTTCCTATAAATGCCATATCCTGGGGGCGCTATTTCGTCGTCCTTAATATCTGAATGTAGCCAGGTTTCTGTTATTACAATCAGATGGGGTGCATGCGCTATTGTGATACTTTCCAGGTCATCAAGTTTATTGATGATGCTGCGGGCGTTAAACTGAATGCAGCGAAGTGAATTGCCTGATTGTGCTTCGGTTCACTCCTGAGATTTCTTAACGACATTACCTGGAAGTGGCACTTTACGGTCTGCATTTTAAACGAACAGAACACCGTTAACTCGGATTTCGTCGTAGATTAATTTCACCTTTTCGCCTGCTCTTCGATTTTCCGCCGTGCTTTCCCAAAGTTTTTTTCTTTTATGTCGTGTAGCTTCCGAGAAGTTCTCAGAAATCGAGAAACCTGTACCCTTTAGTTTGAAGCAATTTTTAAGCACAGCAACCTTGTCACGGTAATCAATAAACTTTAGAATTATAGGGCGAGGCTTACGTAGTTGTTTGCGCCCAATTCTGCGAATTCTTTCCGCAGACGACACTTGTATTGCCAGGATATCGGTAAACACACCCTTCAACACACTTTCGCTGAGTTCATCGAAACTTTCATTAGTTGTTTCCGGTATACCGAAGACAATCAAGTTTTTCCGCCTATTTCTATCTTCAAGGTCAGCTAGCTTGCTTTCCAAGCTTACGAGCCTTTTTTCCAACTTATACGCCATTGTTTTCACCTCATTTACAGCCGTAGCAACTTCTTCCACTTTTTTTAACTTCAGCTCAATGCCATCCAGCCTTTTCTGAATGCTTTTCTGACCATCCAAAAGCTCAGCAAGCAACTTTTGAACGTCAGGGCCGGGATTCGGCTCGACGTCGCCACACAATAAAAGCAAAGAGAGAAGCATTTCGCGTACACTAGAACAGATTCTGCTTAAGCTACATGGGCATGTCAGCTGGACAAAGAAAGGGTCGTCACATATGACGTCACATATATATATATATATATATATATATATATATATATATATATATATATTATATGCGCCTAATATCGCAGATTCCTGTCTCTCATACATCTGCGCATCGTGGACTCGGCAGCGCTGACAAGTATGGCGCCCGTTTTGGCAGGCTTACCCTCCATGGCAAGGTCAACAATCCGTAGACCCGCATGGTTCGTGGTCTCACTGGTGAGGACGCCCATGCTTGCGTTTGCTTGCATCAATGCCATTTCTCTTGCTGAAATACCATGCCTCGGTTCATGCTTAAAACTCTTGGTAGTGCGCACGAAAAACGGAGTGATAGAAAAAGAAGGTGCCAATGAGCACTAACCTTTTTAGTGCACGCTATGAAAGTTTTTAAACATTAATTCATACCAATTTGCCCAGCTATCAGTTTAATTAGATATCTCGGGTCTGACACTAAAATTTCAACTAAATAAAACATATGGAAGACGACGTAGACAAGTTCTGCAATTTGACAATCAGAATCAATGGTCCATAGCAATAATGTACTCTAATAATTTAAACAATAGCCTCTTATAATTCTTGTTTACGTCACAGTGACCAGATTTAATACATTTGAAGAGATGGAGAATGAATAAGCAAAAATAAAATAAGATGTCCAAGATTCTGGAAGCACAAGCAACGCAATTTGAATAGCAGCGTTCATCAACACTTGCAACTTTACGATTATATTGAGCTTGACACTGCGCAGGCATGCCTGGGAGCATCCACAGTTCTGCTGTTGTACCAGGTGGAAGAGATGCGTTCACAGAGGTTGCAGGGTTTTGGCTGGGCTTTTCTGTCAGCCTGCCTGGTCGCCGTCCAGCAGGTGTTCACGCAGACCACGAGAGACGTTCCCCAGGGCGTGCTGCTGCTGCATTCGTGCTTCACATCACTCATACTCTCAACCCTGTTTGCTGGCAACGTGCTTGAAAGTCCCAAGGAGCTCCTCACCAAGGTAGGCGCCATCAATATGGCGATAAGCATGGTTGGTGTGGCCTTTGTCGAAACGAAAAGAAAGAAACTAACAGGGCTTCTTATGCATTCTCTTTACCCGGGTCGAAGCTGGAAGCCAACTCGTTTTTTTCATCTCAATTTGTGTATGGATCCTCCCCTGCTGTGAGGATATATATTTGAGCACCAAACCTTGTTTTGTACTGCCTCCATTATTGGCTCACATATCATTGAGTCATGAGTCACGGGATGGCGTCATCATGTGACGTCAGATTAACGACCTAATGAGGTCATAGGTTTTATCATCTGATGTCGTCATGACGTCATATAGCAACGTGATCACGTAAATATGTTCACGTCACTCGTGTTGACGCTACTAGCGGTGAATTTTCGTGTTTGACGAAGCTTTCGAGGTTTTCGCCTTGAAAACAGTTCGAAGCTGTTGGGATGAATCATGGTGTGTTGCGGCCTTCTGCCCTATGAACTCAAGCTCCACGACAATCGGGTGCCACTTTAAAACTGTGAGAAAGACCCAGCCTAGATGTCTCAAGCATGGTAGCCGATCGCCTCTGCGACTAAGAATTGTTTCATTTATCTACAACGCAGTATTCTCTGTCAGGCGTATACGGCAGAATGAGCTATCAAGTGGAGCAAGACTAGGATGCGTAAAAAACAGCCTGCGACGTTTATTTTCTTTTGTAGTAAGACGGAAAAACGAACTAGTTCGTACACATGCATAATTGAAAGTTCAACCGTGTACTGCAACACGGGCATTGAAGGGGACAAGGGACAAGTGAAGCATGTGCAGCTGGGCACATGCCTTGGGGCATACGCATTGGTTTTTACTCAAAAGCTCTCAGCTGTCAGTAAACACTGATGCCGTTCTCTCACTAGTCCTAATCCCAGTTCGTGTTTGAAATTCCCGTTCCGGTTTATTCACTTTCGTCGCAAGGGCTATATGTCACACTTTTTGCCAGAACACCCACCTTTATTAGTAACGCGTAAGTCAGAATATATCTTCATCAGTATCACGCATGAGAAAAGATTGCTCAAACCACCCATCGTAATAATCCTTGAAATGAAGATGCACAGTATGTCTTAAAACAATGCGCGAATGAGACAAGCAGTCCCCTATAACAAAACGAATTTGCCCCAGGGTGTGTATGCCGCTTAAATTAAGCAATTATCGTTCAACTTTTCGTAACTTCGTAACTGTAAATGAAGGATTTCATTGCATTCCAGCATGCCATAATATCTCTCAGTATTTTGCTAATAAAACTTATCCGACTGCCGAAGAAACATGGAGGAAAGTGACCACACAGACAAGTGCTTGTATGAGGCGTGCAGTCTTGTGGAACGGTGGGAATCAGCCACGCACCGTGGTATCGCCAGTATGCACGCCATAGTCAATGCTCAGACAAATTCTGGCTTTTTTATTCATGCACGAGAACGTAAATTAGTATGTGATCGATATTGCCAGGAGGTGTTTACAGTACATTTGACAGTAAAGCACGTATGATATTGTCACGGGCTAAGTAGATGCCTGAGGATGACGACGACGAAGTGCTGAACGTGACAGTGCTCGAACTGCAGCAGCGTTGTACACATTTGCTCGCCAGTATATTCGCCAGTACGCATTTGCTCGCCAGTGTATACTTTATACCCCGTAACGTCATTGGTGGAAGATGCGGGGTACCACTCGCTATACAGCCCAACGAGCTGGATCGTCGCAGCGGACGGCGCAATGCAGCTACCACGATGACTGACCAGGCTACTCAATGTCAACAACATCCGTCAGCCCCGCAACCGATCGTTGTGGTGCAACCTAGTGAGCCAGGCCCATTCAACGGCACAAGTGGCATAGACGTCAATGACTGGCTGGTTCTATATGAGCGCGTCAGCAACATCAACCATTGCGATCCAACGCCTATGTTGGCGAACATCATCTTCTACTTGCATGACACGGCAAAACTCTGGTACGAGACCCATCATAAGAGTTGACTAGCTACGCGTCTGTAAGCATAAATTGCGCTGTCTATTTGGGAAACCCATCGGGCGTCAAGTGGCCGCAAAGAAAGAGCTTGCGACTCGTGCCCAGACATCCACAGAGCCGTACATCACGTACATCCAGGACGTGTTGGCTTTGTGCCGCAAGGTCGACAAGGACATGCTCGACGAGGACAAAGTCGGACACATCCTGAAAGGAATTGCCGATGACACCTTCAATTTTCTCCTGTGCAAGGACTGCTCGATGGTGGAGTCGGTCATTGAAGCATGTCGTCGCTTCGAACAGGCAAAAAGTAGGCGCATAGTTCACCGATTTGACCGCCTTCCTAACACGGCGGCTACGTCCTCTTGCGAACATTTGCCCACACTACATCAACCACAAGCACCGGAAAACTACACCAGAATAGTCCGTCGGGAACTCGAGGCTATGGCACCCGCTATGTCTAGCGTCAGCGCGCCAGGACACAACCTCAATGCTGTTTCAATGATACAGGTCGTGGTTCGCCAAGAGATCGCGAATATGGACATTTCGCCACCTCTTCAAAATGCCCCTGCTACTTCCAGCTCGGCTCCAGTCGTTGCGGCTGCCACTCTGAACCGCATGTTCGCGCCACGACGAAACCCAGCTGAATGGTGCATTCACGATGATCGGCTCATATGTTTCACGTGCCATCGGATAGGACACATCGCTCGCCATTGCCGCAGCCGTTGGACCTCATCACCTCGACCGAGCTTCTATGATTTGGGGCCTCGCCCTGAACGTGCACCTTATGCCCCGTCCTACCGTGCTGAGAGAGGTGCAGAGCATAATCCAAAACGTCGGACCAGCCGCTCGCCATCGCCCGTGCGTCGTCAGTCCCGCTCGCCCCAACCCCACCGTTCTCGGTCTCCCTACGACCGTCGCTCGGAAAACTATCCGGCGCAGACCCGGAGGTGACGCTGCATACACGACTCGGACTGCAAATCCTCTGATTACTCCGGACCAGCGGTGCAACCTTCTTACAATTCTCGTTGATGGTTTACCTGTAACTGCTCTTATTGATACAGGTGCACAAATATCTGTGATGAGCTCACACCTCCGCCGCCGCCTCCAAAAAGTTCTGACACCTGCGATTGCACCTACCATTCGTACAGCGGATGGGAGTACTCCTGCTGTGCTTGAAATGTGCACTGCGCGATTAACAATTTCTGAGCATCAAACTTCAGTTCTGTCCGCTGTACTGGAAAATTGCCCTGATGACCTCATCCTTAGTCTCGACTTTCTGACTTCACACGCTGCGCTCATTGACTGTTCCAAAGGTCTTCGGCTCCAACTACCATACTTCTCAGAGACCGTCTCTACCAGCCCACCTCGTCTACGCTCTGTCGATTTCCTCAGACTTCCGCCGCAAGCCGCAGTCCAAGTCCAACTCTCGCCATATCATCCAGTACCCGATGGTGATTATGTTGCTGCCCCAATTTCTGACGTGACCATGACACGTAATGTTGCACTCCCCAACACGGTGGTTACCGTTAAGGACAACCGAACTTCATTTCCCGTCCTCAATTTAGGCTTCTCAGTGCAAGTTATTCCTCGCGGCATGTCACTTCCCCATCTGACACCACTGGTCGACCACACAGTTTTCGCCCTATCCACCGATTCGCCACCCAATTTTTCATCAACGTCGCTCTCATCACGTTCCTGTTCCGACCTTTTCAAGCCAATGCTATCTGACAAGCTCACTTCTGAACAAGTCTCTGCTTTCTGTCGTGTGCTTGCTTCTTACCAGGATATCTTTGACTTCGGCGACCGTTTTTTGGGCCAGACATCCGTGGGAACCCATCGCATCGACAACGGTGACGCTCGACCCATTTGCCGACGACCCTACCGTGTGTCAGCCCCGGGCGTGCTATTATACAACGAGAAGTCGATAAAATGCTTCATAAGGGCATAATCGAACCCTCATCTAGTCCCTGGTCCTCACCCGTTGTACTTGTTGAAAAGTGTGATGTGTGGTGCGCGTTCAAAGTGCGCGCCTTCGAAAAGTGCGCGAAATTAAAGGATGACCGAGTGCACGTGCTGGGTCGCCTGAACAACGACGACGCCGAGGACCGGTACACGTGAGAGCGTGGAGCGCAAGCATCCAAGACCATAAAGAAAACAAGGGCCAATGGCTGATCACCACGGAGTTTTGAAAGGCCAATCAGAACGAGACAAGTGGGCCAGAGCTGAAGCAGGAGCCTGAGCAGACCAGAGCAAGGGGAGTTCGAAGAAGACGGGGCAAGCGGAAGGTCGTCACCGGACCGGGCGCTGAAGATGGGCCGTCGGGCGTAGGACCCGAGCCTGCAGGTCTTCAACCGGCCGGGGCCTCCTGCCGTCGTGTTCCCGCTCCAAAGGACCGTGGCCATCCGGTCCTGAACTCCTTTCCAGGGCCTGCGGACTTTGGTTCCGGCAGGCGAGCTACAGCCGTCGGGCTCCGGGCCCGAGCTGTGCGCCCAGCTGCTTGACTAGGTCGACCCTGGTTCTCTGACGCGTCACCACCAGCCTGCGTTCTCCCGTCTCCGACGTGTCCACGCTCTTCAAGCCGAAACCATCACGATTTGGTAGGGCTTTTCGACGTGTCGCCAGCAGCCAGCGTTCCCTCGTCCTCGTCCAGCCCACGCATTGACGCAGGAGTCACGGCGTCCCGGTTTCTCATCACCGCCGAAAACCAACTTGTGGGTGAGACTGCACCGATACTCTTGCGCTACTCCCATCACTCAGCCCCTTTCGAACGTTAGGTTTAGTTACTGACTTTGAACGTTCTTGTTGGGTGTTTACAGATGTGTTTCGTCATGTCCAGTCAACTGTTTATTAAGTGTTTTGTTTTGTGAGGAATCTTTGCCTTTTTACTTTTCAATTAAACTTTTTGTGTGTTTCTTGGAAACCGAACGGCTTTGTCCTTATTAACAAAACTCTCTGAGGCTCAGCCCGGGAGAAAAACAAATCAGCAACAAGAACCCTGCATCACAAATTGG